ATCCATGGTTACTTGTCAATCAACCTTTTGCAGAACCACTCGGATGCTTATACTTGAACGTTTCATTGAGAAACAAAAATATTATCATTGCGGAATTTCTCTCACTTGTTGTGCGTTTGCCGAAGCCGAATTATTTCACAATGATTTATTCAAGCTCTTATTTCATTGTACTGGAAGATTCATTTATTCTTCCAAAATTGTCGACTACTGTTGAATATCTGAAGCTTGACGTAAAATGCTCGATGCTTTGTTTGGAAAAACTCCTTAGATATTCATCATGCATTCGCCGTCTTCATGCAGCAGTGACTTTCATTGAAGAAAATACCGAGATCTATTCTCGAGCTTCGATGTTTTCAATAGTTCAGTATGTGTTTCTTTCACAGGAATATATTTCTATTCAAGATATTATTCGATTCTGTCAGACGATGCCCTTGTTTAAGACAATATACGTTAAATGCTGCAGATTATCACGACGATCAAGATCTATTTTATCCAAGCACATGGCAACAATTTATTGAACATGGTTACACTATGCTCACAAACTTTCAAGTCACTATGACATGTAGACCATTCCGTGATTTTCACCATAATTCACACTGGCTTTCACTAAATCATGATCCCTACTCTCGTGAAATCAATTTCCAGTTCGAGAAGGATTCTTGGGGAAATATTGTTCTCAATGGTAACTATGTGAAGTCAAAATGAACTGATTGTTAAGGCATAGATTTCACGACTTGACGATATGGATGTAGATCTCCTTCTTGTTTACATTTACATCTCGTAAGGAAGTAAAGATAAAAGAAATTTTCTAATAAGATTGAAAATTGTGATGGAATTAGAATCAGTATGTATCTTCATTGAAAAATAATATGCACTCCGAAATTGAATGAAATTCTACCACGAAACATATAATTCGGAATCCATTGACTTAACTAAATAGTTATCAAGTAATTCTTCTGATTCGATAAGATTCTTCAATATTTCTGTCATTGATTTACGTGTATTTTTTATACACATAAAACACAATTGTTGAGTATTAATTTTCGTTTTCAACATTATAAATCGTATGATTGATTCAAAATGTTGTGTATGAATATCGATTGTCAGATGTTGCAATCGAGGGCATAAAGCAACAAATAGTTTGATGTTTTCTGATAAATATCTTTCTTTAACAATCACATTTGAAATATTATTTGTATTCAATACTAATCGAAACGTTTCCCTTTGTTGATTAATTGTGAATCGAATGTTAATGTATGAATATTAAGGATAAAACGTAATAATTTGATCAATTGATCAAAAGAGAAAGTGTCACAATCAATGATTAGTGTAGTCAACTGTTTTAGAGGAATAATACGTTTGAGAATGATCCGAAGCCATACACGACTTTCAGCAAAACCATGCTAAAGCGTAAGTTTCGTAGCATTTCGAAAATAACTTACATAATTCATAATAGCTTCTTCACCTTGAATGCTAACATGATCCACGGAATTTGTATTGCTTCTTTGAAGACGTAGACAAAAATTTTCGGTTAACTGTTTATACAATATGTATTGCTTTCTTCTTTAAAATTGATATTCAAAGAACCATTTTCGTTTGGACCAAAACTAAAGAAGAAAATCGATTAACTACAGAATCATATATCAACTGATAATTATCAGTATTATTTTCTATTGGATTAATATGTTGAAAATCGAAAGTATGTAAATAGGGCATAAAAGATAATATTAATTGTTCCCATCGATTTGCATCGAAATATGTTCTATCATAATTTGTTGTGAGATGTAAAATTTGAAGTTGATTAAATAAATTTTTAATCATCAATTCAAATTTATCAAAACTGATATCTCTCATATTAATAGAAACATGTGTTATAGTTTTGGATTAGCATGAAAATGTTTCTGATTGATTGCTACGAGTTCCTTTCATCAAAGTAATCAAATGTTAAACGATGAACTTGAGGAATATATGATAATAAAGCATTGAGATTATTAAGAAAAAATTAATGAGTAACAACAAGATGTTCAATAGGACTTGTTACATTTGTTGAAGTTGGCAATGAATAATAATCAGAATATTCTTTCAATGATATTTTACAGTACTTCAATGCTGGCAAACGAAATATGCGTTGATAAATTTCATTTGGATTTCGACAACAACCAATAGGAATCATAACTAATAATAAGAGATTAGGTAAAAAATATAATAATTAAGAATATTGATAATATATTTTGATTTAATATTATAAAAAATAAGTGTTTCTAATCGAGTAAAATTTGATGTGATAGGTACTGAAGTAAAAATAACATCGACAATAAATGAATTCGATAAACAAAATGACGTAATTCGAAGTTTATTAGGCATGATAATATGTCTATGACAGCTTTGAAAAATTGATTTCGATATAGATGAAACATTGATTTTTAGAGGAAGTGTTGAATTCGTAAGAAGATTTTGTAAACGTATATTAAGATTGTAAAATGCTTTATACACATAATAAACATAAAGATGATTGAAAATTTCATAAAAAATTTCATTTGAAAGATCTTCAATAAGTGTAACAGATTGTCTTGATGAACTAAAAGACAAATGAATAGATTTAACAAATAGAATTTAAAGAAATATTTGCTTTTGATTGACCTCTTTGACTCTTCTATTAACTTCAATTTCTTGTTAACATTCCAATAATCAAAAATAATTGTTCGTCGTTGTGGTTTTGTTTGTTCCATATTATGATTAAGAACAAGAAATTCAAAAAAATAGTAAATGAGTTAGAACATGAAACGAAAAAATTGATATCAATGTTGTTTTTTTTCCACGGAATACAATAAAGTTGGATTTTCTCGACATTACTCATA